AAAAAAAAAAAAAAAAAAAAAAAAAAAAAAAAAAAAAAAAAACCGTGACTGCACTACGAACCTCCCAACTTAGCAGCGCCAGGTGAGTGGGCCGGCGCCGCCCCGGCCCCAGCCCCCGCCGAGCGCCCGCCCCGCCCGGCCCGCCGCCGCCTGTCATCCTCGGGGTGCAGGGCTGCGGCCCCCGCGCTGCCAGCACTTCCGCAAACGTAACTGGAGTCGGGAAAACAAAGGCGCTGCCCGGGAGCCCTCGCCGGCCGCGCACAGCCGCTGCGGAAGGCGGGGGCGCGGGTGGGCCCCGCGGGGCCAGGCCCTGCAGCGCCGGATCCCGCCGTCGCTGGGAGGTAAACATCCCCGGGAGAGAGGGGGAGGCGAGACCGTCCCCACGGCCCGTGACAGGGACGTGGCCCCCTGCGTGGAAGGAGACAAATACGGGGAGTGGCACACCTCTTCCCGGGCTGCTGCCTTCCTGGGAGAAATGCGTCCTGCTTAGCTTCAGCTAGGGGATGGGTCCCTTCGCGCACGGAGATTACCGGGACGGTTTCTGGAGGATGGTGAGGAGTTCAGATGTGGCCCCTCCCCCTACTGCCCCTCCCCGCGGTCGCGCCCGTGGATTATTACCATTAAGCGTGGCACGCTACGCGTTTTGCTTCTCCCACGGGCCTGCGGAACTACAAACATTCCCTTTCATTCTAACACATTTGATAAGCACGCCTACACCCACTGGAACATAGGATACCTGCCGATCCGTCCTAGAAATAACCCCGCGGAGCTGAAGTTTCAGCTCCCAAGAGGTGTCTAACTAGTTTTGTGTTCTTAGATTGTTGCTACATCATCCTGGGCTGCAGTTTTCTCACAGCAGAGAAAAGATGTCCACATAGTACAGCAGTCAGATGTCTGGACGTTCACGATATTGCGTGACATTAGGTGTAGTTGAAAGTAGGCGGCGTGCAGTTCAGGTGTTATCAGCGACACTGTAAAGGAGGTGAACATTTGGTAGGTCCAAGCCCTGCACAGAACGTCGCTTCTCCAAGACCCAGCGCTAGGTAGCTAGTGCCTTATGCATTATTGATGGTCTTATGAAGAAAGGGGGAGGATAGAATCCTCTGCATTGGAAAGCTTGGCTCTGACATTCAGAGCTGTCTGTCATTAGCAGACGTGGAGGATTTTTCAGATAGCTGCGGATGAATAAGAGTGAACAACCCTTTTCACAGGTTGTAAGTAAAAATTCACATTGTTTAGGAAAAGATGGAAACATTGTTAATGAGCTCAGCGCAGGACAATGGAGAAAGTAAAAAGGGTCTCATTTCAAGAATGAATTAAAACTACATATTTTACAGTAACCTGTTTTCTATAATATTTCTCTATAAAGGTAAATATAAAACAAGAAGGCAGATTAAAGCAGCACCAAAGAGCACACGCTTGGTGGTCTGGGTATTGATAGGGTCACCAATTCTATCCATCATATAAACATGCACACGCATACATATGCGCAATATATATATGTGTGTGTGTATGTATATATATGTATATATATATATATAACTTCTGCATTATTAATAGTATTATGGTACTTTGGGGAAATCTTACTTTTTTAAAAATACCATTCTGAAAACTTAATTTCCAAATCTCCATACCAATGTCTGACCCCTGATTTTGTGCACCATGAAATGGATGCTCAGAGAAATTATGCAACTTAGACTAACCACACTTTCAACAAGAGGTGGAGTTAGATTTGCCCCATGCCTCGGCCCAGAACAAAGCACAGGAAATTTCCACATGGTGTTTCTCCCAGCCCTGGAGCGATTAAGTATCCCCACCTACACTGGCGCGTTCCTTTGCTTCTTGCCTTTGAAGATTGACTTTGTTTCAACACATATGTCTCACACATGGTCATGCAGAATAATCTACATAGTAACAATGTATATAAATTAGTAAATATGAAATAGTTTTATCCATTTAATCTTACCATTTTTGAACTTATAAGGAGTGTAAAATGAAGAGCCAAAGGTAGGTTCTTATGATTTACTTCTGATCTTCAGTAAATTTTTAGAGTTTTTACCACAGGGAAATGGAGACAAGCAGCAGCTGTGCCTGCTAGCTGCACTGGTCTTTTGACTTAGGAAAACCCAGAGTGTATCAAGTGAAAAGGCAGGTTGCAGGCCAGATTTATATATTTACTTAAATATCAGTATGGACACAGGTGTAATTCCTTGTCCTCTAATTGCTGAATGTAGTTAACCTGAGAAAGTGGCAGGGATGGAGACCTTAGAAAGTTAGATTTGGGTTAAAAAATTGGGAAAGTGTGTGTCCTTTTATTATATAAACTAAAAGGGAGGAGGAAGAAAGGAGTATTTCATTTAAGAGAAAATTGAGAGCACTGACCATAACACAGTGTTTCTTTGGTTTGTTTGTTGTTTTGTTTTAAAGTAGTGTGGGGTCAGGGTAGATGTTGGGGGGGGCAGAGTCAGGAGTCCTGGGTGGCCCTGCTCCTCTCTCTGGCAGTAGCTGTGGTGTAATCTGCAGCTTGCTGGGTTTCCTGAGAGGAGAAAGCTGTGGTGCATATCATGGGCGTCCACTAGGTCCAGGCTGGGATGCCAGAACCCCTCTCTGCCTGGCCTGGCTTGTACGTACGAAGACACTCTTTTCTTTTCTTTTTTTTTTCTTGGTAGAGTAAGTTGATAGGAGGAATCAGCTTACCTGCTGTGTCATCTCGGGAAAGTGTGGCATTATATAGATGACTTCAGTTTTACTTAATGTCATTTCAGGAGCAGCAAGTTATCATCAAGTTTAGTCTGATGTACATGTGTATTTCGTAACACTAAATACTGTTCCACAGTTTTCCCTACTACTGCGTAAATGTAACTAAAATTAATGTGTAGAATTTTTAAAAGTCTGTGTATTTTCCTGCCCAGAACTAGAAATCCAAAGCAAAATACATTCAGACTTCAAATACAAGAAAACAAATGACTCTTCTTGTGTTTTGTATGTTAAGAAAATCTGAATAATCTTGGTTCATTAGAATGCAATGTGACTATAATGCACAAGTGGCCATTATAAAGTTATTTTGTAGAGGAGGCAGTCTGACAGGCTTAGGCATCGTTAGGCTTCGTGTAACATTTCATTTAAGATTTTTCATTATGTTTCAGGTAGAAAGAAATCTGCCTGATTTGGGGATGATCAAGAACAAAGAAACTACCCTGGTTAAGGCCAGTTTGGGTAAAAGTTTCTTCCTTTAGGCGGAACTCCCATGGCATTTTCAAGGGCACAGTAGTTTTAGGTTTCACTGTGAATTTGGGGCAGTAAACACACCTCAGGGTATCCAGCTGGGACATTCCTTCTGGGTTTGCAATTCCTGCATGTTTAGTTACCCAGAGTCACCTGTCTGGGAATTTACTATTGTGGCCTCCAGTGTGTGAATACAGCTTTGTTCATCTTGTGTGTTTTCTTGAGTCCTGAGTAGCAGGTTTTCTATTATTTATACTCACTGACTCACTACCCTCTCTTTGTAGCTGATTTGGTCTTTATATTTAAAAAATATTTATTTTATAAAACAGCATAGTCTCAATTTATTGGGCAACTTTTGTAAGCTACCAGAGTGTTTTGCCATGACAAATGATATTCGGTTTGTTGGTGCAAAGGCCCAAAGAGAAAACCAAAATTAATCCTTAAAATATGGAGCGCAAGCCTTGAGTTTGTGTCTGCTGTAGACATTACCCTCCTAGTTGATACTTTATCCTCTGGTTCAGTAAAATGTGGGAGTAACTGAGCCACAGGTATGCTGAGTTGAGGGTGTGTCCAAGTTTGGTGGTATGAATGAAAGCACGGTGCTGCTTATGGCTGGGGACTCTGCTGTGCTTTAGGATGAGGAGGGGCAGAATGAAATCATGGAGCAAAGATGGAAGAAATTCAGTCTCCTGGAAAAGCCACAGTCAGGAGATATGAAGAGGAATGAACTAGGTGACAGGCATACCTTGCTTACCTATTGCTCTTTGTTTCTTTGAGAAGAGAGGATAGCTCAGGGAATATGTGAAATTAGACAACTTTGAATAACAGAAGAAATGCATAAAAGTATTTTGATCTGAGATGCTGAGTGAGACTGGAGAATGAGAGGAAGGATGGGAATTCCGTGAGTCAGCCTTGGCTGGAGGGAGGCCTGCTTTGAGGCGGAGACAAAGGAGAACTACAAAGAGGAACTGTTGGTGCATGGACTAGCCTGATTTGTGGGTTTGCCATGCCAAGGGAAAGTGAGTGACGAGTCTGGACTGGTAGTTCCCTCCACTGCTCTTGAGTGCCTTCAGCTCCCCATGTGTTCAGCTGAGCACCCTTGATAGGGCCCAGGGCTTGCTCACACACAGCGAAACACACATTCCCTATAATAAACACAGAAAGGCTGAGTGCATCTATTGGCGACCCTACTCTATGACTATCAAAAGTTCACTGCTCTTGGCAAACATGTTTGATCCTGAAGACCCTCCCGTTCCAGCTGCTCTAAAGCCTTCTTAGTTCTTTTCATAATGGTGTCGGTACTGGGTTAATGGGCAGCTTTGTCTGAAAGTCACCTTTGTTAAGGAAGTTTTAACCACGAGTCTTTATTGTTATGCTTAGAAAAAAGAGAGACATGTATCTCACTGTTTTCTTTGTAATGGTGCTACCTGTTGTAGGTGTAAAGCCCCTGAGTGAGGCCCTTGGGACAGGCCCTTTGAATGGTTTCTGTGGGTGACATGAGCCAGTTTCTGAGCAACAGACATCAGATCAGTGTGGCAGTTCCCTATGAGTGTCCGTGATCTCCAGGATCACGGGTGCCCCAGATGTCACTTAGGTGTCTTGTATTTAATACAAAGATCTTTAAATTGTGTATTTAAAGAGCGATAAATGTTTGTTAAAGAAAAATCTAGTCACCTATAAGGTAGAAAATGACTTATAAAGTCCTAATTTCTTTACCCACAGATAAGCCCTTAAAACAATTTGGTGTTGTTTCTTTAATATATTTTAATCTAAAATATATTTTAATCTAAAATATATTTCATGTGAAGGTCACAGGTTTACAGATAAACACTGACGTGATGCATAGAGGTTTGTCCTGCTTTGTTTGTTTTTGTTATACTTTGTTTTCCCATGGCCTGGATATGATGCTAATTTTTCTGTTATAACGATATACCATAATTTATTTAACTGCCCATATTACTGCTGCTTCTCATTGTTTACAGTGGAAACCTTTCCATATCTACACTTAAATCTTTGCCTTCCAGAATGCCTGTAGTTCTGTTTCAGTTGAATGAGGGTGCTTGTCCTCTTCACCAGCATTTTACAAGGTGCTGCTAGGATTATATATTCAAACTTT